CTCATGTGACCTTCTCTCTGTGTCCTCTTCTCTTCCTATAAACATGTCATCAGTCAGTGAATTTAGGATCCCCCCTATATCCAGGATGATCTCATCTCAAGATACTCAACTAATTAGATCTGCAAATAAGATTACATTCTTATTTCTATTTGCAAATAAGATTACATTCTGTGGTTCCAGGTAGACATGGATTCTGGGAGGACCCACTACAGCGGTCACAAAGTTGCCAGGAAGATAAGCAGGGAGGAGACTGGAGTAAGAGAGACTAGAGGCAGGGAGACAAATTGGCATGAAATCGACACAGCTTGTGGCCCCAAGTGAACAGAAGACATGCTTCCTGCTATGAATCCTAAAGCTGTCAGTGGCTTTTTGTGGACACTGTAGTACCCCAAGTGGGCTCTTAGGCCAACCCAGACATAAGGTCTTGGTTCACCATTGGCACAGAAATACTCCAGCCTACTTTCCAAGTGACAGCACAGGAATGAGCACCTGCACTCTTATTCTTGGCTCCCCTCGCTGGCAGTATCATGGGCAGGTTGGTAAAGTAGAAGACACGGCAACCGTGGAGTTGAGAAACCCGGGTTCTAGTCCTGATTCTGCTGCTGACTAAATTTGGGCACATCTAGCAAATGAGGCTGACTAGATCACCTCTAGGGCAACTGACATGGTTTCCTTCTGCAGCCAAAAAAGCAGTTCCAAGATCATAGGATAAACAGGCAAAGGAGGGCTCTGGGGCTGCAAGGCAGGGTTCTGGGCTCTTCCCCCATGTCCCGCTCCAGGGACCTCAGACCTCTCCCTTTGAGCCCTCTCCCTACCCTCCAACAAAAGAAACAGAGTGATGCAGTTTGGCTCTGTGTCCCCACCCAAATCTCATCTTGTAGCTCCCATAATTCCCAAGTGTTGTGGGAGGGACCCAAAGGGAGTTGATTGAATTATGGGGCGAGTCTTTCCCTTGCTCTTCTCGTGATAGTGAATGGGTCTCACAAGATCTGCCAGTTTTAAAAACAGAGTTTCCCTGCACAAGCTGTCCTTGCCTGCTGAGTCCAATTAAACCTCTCTCTTTTGTAAATTGCCCAGTCTTGGGTCCGTCTTTGTCAGCAGTGTGAAAACAGACTAATACACAGAGGTGTCTACCAAAGCTTGGAAATGAGATTAACTTGCATCTAAGAATACATCTTCCCACACATTGGAAGTAGGAAAAGAGGGTAAAGGTATGGTTCCTCTTTAATGATTTTTAAAATTAAAACAAATGTTTAAAGATACATACGGAAAGTTATTCATAGCAACATTATTTGTAAGAGGAAAAAAAAATACAGAGAAAGTGGGAAACAACCTTCACGTTTATCTATAAGGCCTTAGTTAGGTAAATCATGGCAGAGTTGCACGTTGGAACACTACTGCCATTAAGATAAAAGAGACCCCAGCGTGCTACATGACAAGATGTCCATGATACAGTGTTAAGTAAACAACACAGACGCCAAAGCACATTAAGTAAAATCCCTAACCCCTTTTATGTTACATGCACACACGCACACACATGCACACATGCACATGCACACACACACACACACATGCACACGCACAGCCCGAGCACAGGAAGTCTGGAAAGAATCCAGCAAACCGGTAATGCCGGGGATCCTTGGGGCCAGGATAACAGAGGATTTTCACCTTCCACTTTATACAATTATGAGCTACTGGACTTTTTTTTTTTTTTAACAACAAGCAGCATTAGTTTAATCAACAAAAACAATAAAAATATTCCCATTCTGACAATAAAATAACTATTCTAGGTAGATGCAAAGTACTATTGGCCCTCAGAGAAAAATGATCAGGATAAAAATCACTTTGCCATAAAATCACGCTAGAAAAAAACTATCAAGCTTGGGAAGGAGGAAACACCAAGTATTATATATATTTCAAAGGCCTCATACCAAGCCCCCACACTCCCTCCACACACAGCAAATTTTCTTCATTCTCCACTTGTTTTAACTTTAATTTTAATTTTTTTAGAGACAGGGTCTCACTCTATCACCCACGCTGGAGTGCAGGGGCGTGATCTTGCTCACTGCAGCCTCGACCTCCCAGGAGGCTCAAGTGATCCTCCTGCCTCAGCCTCTCAAGTAGCTGGGACCACAGGGGTGACATGACCAGCTCCCGACTATCCACTTTAATCATAAACCCTCCCAGGTCAATCTTCTCTCTGCAAATATTAATAATAATGAGGAAGAAGCAGATAAAATTTATTAAGCATTTATTATGTGCCAGGCACTGTACTAAGCACTTTGCATATATTCTTTCTTTTCATCTTCACGGCATTACTCTGAGGTAAGGATTATTGCTCTTTGCATTTGACAGATGAAGAAACTGGGGCTCAGCTTAAGGATGCAAGCCCAGGCAGTTGACCCCAAAACCTGTGACCGCAGTCAACGCTCTCACCACCCTTTTGGGAGCAAAGCCCTTCTGAGGCTCTGGATCTCCTGAAGGCCCTGGGAGATGGCTCCGGGCTCTGCCATCTTTGCATGTCTCCACCTCCTCTCTGCCGATGTTGGCCAGCACCTTCTGGGTAGAAGGTCCTAGCCCACCTGTGGGGGATCTAAATCCAGGTGGAATGTAGGCGCTATGTTCTCTCCTGGGAGCTGATAAGGATATCAGCTCTATCAGCTCCCAGGAGAGAAGGGAGAAGACAGGCCTGCAAGTTCTTAGGTCATGTCCACCCTGAGCAAGTGGCGTGAGGGAGAAGGCAGGGCTGCTGGGCTTCCTCCACCGCAGCATCCTCAGGCAGCCTTCCCTCAACACAATGCTCTGGTAGCTGGGCATGCAGCTGGTGTGGTGGCTGGCCACCGCCTCACTACTCTTTGGGGTCTCTCACTCCCATCTGCCAACCTCGGCCCCCAAGGGACAGCAGGGGAGCTCAGAGAGGCAACCCGGGTATTCTTGATAGTGGGCCGGCGTCAACTCAGTGAGACCCAAACCTGGGACACCAAGACTCAAAGGCTTTACTGGATCCTGCACAAACACCACTCCTGCCTTCCAAATGAGTATGCCCCACCTAGAGCGTAAAGTGGTGCAACCACTTCGGAGAACTCTTCGACAGTACCCAAAGCTGAGCTGTGTGAGCCCTGTGACCCAGCGGCCCCACTCCTGGGCACAGGCCCAGTGGAAATGAGTGCTTGTGCTCACCAAAACATGACGTCCCAGAATGATGGCAGCAGCTGTATTTATCATAGCCCAAACCACACACTGCCCACACGTCTGTCAACTGAAGAACAAATAAACCCGGGTCCATTCATACAAGAGAATACTGCACACCAATGAAAAAGAACACGGCAACGTGAGTGAATTTCAGTCACAGGCTGCGTAAAAGCAGACAGACACAGAGTAACACAGACTGTGTGACTCCATACAGGTAAAAGGAATCTGTGGCGACAGAGGTCAGACCAGTGGCTACTCTGGGATGCGTATCGACTGGGAGGGGTGTGAGGAGTCTCTGGAGTCTGGAATGTTCCTTATCTTGGTCTGGGTGGTACCCATGGGCGTGTACATATGTAAAAGTTCATCATGTTGTATGTTTGAGATACGTGATGTTCACTATTTTTAAGTAACACCATAAAAAAGGTTTTAAAATATTTTAATGACACACACAAGGTTACAGTCAGGTCAGCTTCTCTAGACCTCTAGGTAAGAACTGGGAAGAAAAGTGTGATTAGATGGAGTGGTAGAAGTATGCAAAGATGCTTCCTTTGGTTAGAGCTTAAGTAAGGTTCTGGATATATTGGTACTAAAAATAATTGAAAACTCCATTTAAAATTTGAATAGACTTTCAGACCATATGCAAGACCTCAAAAATCCTAAGAAATGTCACTCATAAAACAAGACACCAAAAAGAAATCCTAAAGTTCAAAACTGCTCCACCTTCCTCCCAGCCACCGGCAATGAGATCCCCATAAGGTCTTGGCAATGTCAGCTCTCATCCACCGCCCCTGCAGGGAGGCTTGAAGGCAGGTCCCTATAGCTGCTTGGGTTCCTCATGAACCTCAGGAGGTGCCTCTGCCCTGGGCATGCCCACCCACTTCCCTCCAGGTTCCAGAGATGTTCCTGGATGTCACCATGTACATCAGCAGCCTGGGAGAGGGGTTGCCTGATACAACCCTCCCCGCAGCACCATCCCCACTGCAATCAGCATAGTGAGCTGCCCAAGCAGCCAGCCAGGAGCCCAGCACCCCAAGGGCACCTGGTGGGTGGGCTGCAGAGAGCAGTGGGAGAGGGGACTCCACTAAGGCACCTCTGATTCCACGCTGATCAAGTCATGCTCCTATTCATCAGAATCCTACAGCCCAGAGGGCAAAGCCCAACTCATGAGCTCAGCAGACAAGCCCTTCACCGTCTACCCCAGCCAACTTTTCCAGACACATCTCCTGCCACAGCCCACCCCAAAGGGCTGCCCTCCAGTGACTTACACTTTACCTCTGTCCCTCAAATGAAGAGAGTCCCCTCATACTTCCTGCCTTTGCAAAAGGCTCTCCTTCCACCTGAAATGTCCTTTCCCCACTTAGGACTCCTACTCACACTTCATGACCCCACACACGAGTGCCCATTCACAAGACACCAGGCAGGCTTCTCCACGCACTCTGTCTTCCCACTGCTCTTGGTTTCTGACACATTTGCTATGAGGTGTTATGGTTATCTGTTCACATTTCACTTGACTCTCCAGTCTGGAAATGCTAAACCCCAAGGCCAGAGTTCTAAGAACCAACATGGAGCTCCAGCCTGAACCCTCTGATAAAGAGGCAAATGGAGATTTTTGTAGAAGAATCAGCAAACTTGGAAGCCCCAGCTCCACTGGCTCCAGTGGAGAAGGGAGGATGACCTTTTTGATTTTCCACAAAGAGGGGTCACTGGACTAGCAGGTCAAATATTGGTGACTCGTGGTCCACATCTCCCCCTGCTGGAGTCCCTGGTCCCTCCCGTCTGGGCAGGAGAAGGGAGGATGCAGTACCTACCAGTGCTGTGTCCCGCTGCCCCCACGGACGGCTTGGTCCAGTCTCTGGCTTCGTCGATGTGAAATAGCTTCAAGTCATCTTCATCTAAGGCAATGTCTCCCCAAAAGGCAGCTGGGAAGAGAACACACAAGTAAGTGAATTTACACTGGATTTGCCAAAGTCAAGAAAAATGGATTTGCTAATGCTCCAGAGGGCATTGGGTATTGCGTAGTAAACTTTGGAAGGGACAGCCCATCCAGTAAAATTTCTCCTTGAGCCTAAGAGATAGATAGGGCTGGTGGAGGCAGAGGAACAGCTGGTATTAGTTCCGTGCATCAGAGCCCTGGGGCTGGGCCAACCACCATGAAAATCTAAATCCTAAGTCTGTAAGTTATTTTAAAAGGTCACCTGTCTTATCCTCACTCCAGGCAGCTCTGAGCAAAACCACCACAAAAAGACAGCTGCGTTTCTCTTCTTTATAGTCCCCAGGATACAGAAGAAAATGAACAATGTGATAAATTATACTGTTGTTCACAATTTTTGTTGCCCTTCCCTGGGGGAAGATTATAGTTCCCTGCCCCATTGGTGTCAGGACTGGACACACAGGCTGCTCTAGTTCAGTGTGAGCAGAAGCTTTAAGAGCTAGTGCATGATTCACTGTGTCCTCTTTGTCCTGCCCCAGAAGACAAGCGGTGTTCCGGACGGGGTTCTTCCGGGTTCATGCGGATCACCCTAGCTTCTGGTAAAGACAATGTATAGCACAGTGTGGCTTACCAGGATGAATATGCAGCATCGGTTAAAAAATGAAAACACTGTTTTTTTGTAGTGGAGAGGATGGATTTTTTTTTTTTTTAAAAGAGAAACAGAGCCTTGCTCTGTAGCCCAGACTGGAGTGCAGTATCACAATCATAGCTCACTGCAACCTCCAAAGCCTGGGCTCAAGCAATCCTCCCACCTCAGCTGCCTGAGTAGCTGGGACTCCAGGCACGGACACAACACCTGGCTAATTTTTAGAATTTTTTGGTAGAGACAGGGTCTCACTATGTCGTGCAGTCTTAAATACTTCTCCTGCCTTGGCCTCTCAGAACTCTGGGATTACTTATTACATATTGCATGTTTTCATAATCTTCTGAGATTCACGGGCATTCATTACTGGAGCACAACCTCTTTAACCACACTAATACAGAAACTGCTATCAGAAATAGTATGTTCTGTAACAAAAACCCACTGTCTTTGGACCAGGTGTCAAGAAAACTGTTACTAGAAGCTGAAAGGAAGTCATGTCTATCATGCGGTGGCAGTGACGAGGCATTCGGTAAGAGTGGTGCCTGCCTTCGCCTGGAAGGCGGACGACGGGCTGAATGTGCTGTGGTTTCAAACGCAGAGATGGAGCAAGAACGCTGATAGCATGCCTTGGTTGTTATTAACTATGTTTGATAAGGTACTACAAGAAAGAAACGGGCTCAAAAAATGGATAATTTTTGTAAGAATGACAAAGAATAGAGGGTCTAAAACTTCAGGGTCTCAGAGAGTTGGAAGAGCTAACCTATTCCCATAACTACATGGGAAAAAAAAAAGCTGAGGACTTCGAGCAACTAAGGTTGATGAAAATTCAGCTTTGAAAAAGGCAGCCCATCCAATAAAATTGGCTTTCTTTTTTTCTTCAATAGATATAATCTTTCTTTAATCGATGTAATCTATTGAAGGAAGAAAAATAAAATTTGTGGAGCAATGAAGAACCAAGCCCTGTACCCGACACATAGATGCTTTCCCTGCAGAGATCAAATATAACTTTTGAAATCTGAAACTCAATCCATCCAAGCTGTCCATGTTATAAAATCTATAAATTGGCTCATGCTTCTCCCTGTACTTGACACATAGTAGTGGTTTCTCTGCAGAGGTTAAATATAACTTTTGAAAATTTGAAACCCACGTCATCCATCCATGCTGTCCAGACTGTGAAATATATGAACTGAGACTCATGCCCCTCACAGCACTCATTTTTATATTTCTAGGTGGGATTTTCCCAGATCTACATCCCCCTTTTTTATTTAGCCACAAGCCACTAGAGGCTTTTAGTGTAGTGTCGAGAACAGCCTTTATGGAAAACTGGAAGTTTCTCTAAAAAGTAGCTTAAATGTATCATGAGACCCAGCAATTCAATTCCTAGGGATCTTCCCGAGAGAGATGAAACATATGTCCATACAAAGACATGCTCAAATGTGTATGGCAGCCTTCATAATAGCCTTAATCTTGAAACACCCTAAACATCCATCAGCTGTTGAATGGAGGAACAGGATGTGGCGTAGCTATACAATGGAACTATGTAGCAATTAAAAGGAACAAACTATAGACACATCCTCCAACAGGTATGAATCTCAAAAACATCATGTGAAATGAAAGAACCATTGCCAAATACTACATATTATGTGATTCAATTTATATGAAATGTCTAGAAAAGGTAATTTATAGAGCTAGAAAGATTTGTAATCACCTAGAGCTAGGGGCAGAAACAAGGATTGACTGTAAATGAACATGTGGAAATTTGGCAGGTGCTGGAAATGCTCTAGAGCTGGATGGTAGTTATGGTTACAAAACTATAAATTTACTAAAATCATACATATGCTTACAATAAGTGAATTACACAGTATGTAACTTATACTTAAGATGTCTGTTAAAGAAAAAACAAATTCAATCTTGTAGCAAGGACCAACCAAGATGATACCTGGTAAATCCTTTCAGTTGGGAAATAATTGTTCAGATAAAGAAAACTAAGAATGTGTTTCTATTTCGGAAGCTTCATAAGTGCAAGGTAGCAGTAATTAAGTCTGGAGAGAGGCAGACATGTTTAGAAAATAATTGTATGTGGCTATGGCACACACAGCTGAACCAAACAGATAAGAAGATGACTAATGTTGTAGAAAAGTATAGGACCCAAAAAAAGTCATTATCATGGCCTATGAGAGGCTGCCACTGCTTGACACTTAAAATGACATAAAATTACCCTTGGGCTCCCATCCTTGTATGGGAAAGAAACAGGCTGAAAAAGCTGCCCCTTAAAGGGCATAGTCTCTGATGCCCTCTTCACATATGGTCAATAAGAATAAGAAAAAAGGAAGGGTGGGACCTCCCAGAGTGTGGCGCTCAAAGCCATGGAGGGAAAATGAATGGAGAGCTATCCCTAGGAGGTGGCATTGGGGCCTCCTGAAGGAACCTTCCCCATCCTAGGGGCCCCTTGCAACATGTGCCCAGCCTGATTTCAGAACTCTTATGGATCAGTGACTGCTGTGCCTCCCAATCTTCCTCTTTCCAGATGGAAGTGTTTGTTATAGTTATCCTGTCCCTTATCCATCATTGTATATTGAGTATGTATTTGGTAGGGTGGGCAAGTATATGATTGTTTTAAAGTTCACAAATCTCTGGATGAAGAGGAGTCGCCTCCTGACTTAGTATAGAGACGATCACAAGATCTTGGAGTTGGAGCCTGGTGCCATGACTGGACAGGACTTTGGGGAAAGGTAAGTATGTTGTATATATGGAAGGAGAAGGAAAACAAGTATTTGTCACAAGAAGGGAGGAGACCTGTGACAGTCTATTATTGTTCATCATTTTTGCTGCTTCTCCTGAGTACAAATTATATTTCCCCCTGTCTCGGATGTCAGGCTTCACCATGTGATTTATTTTACTTATTATTTTTTTTGAAATGGAATCTCTCTCTGTCGCCCAGGCTGGAGTGCAGTCCCATGATCTTGGCTCACTGCAATCTCTGCCTTCCAGGTTCAAGCGATTCTTGTTCCTCTGCCTCCCACGTAGCTGGGATTACAGGCGTGCACCACCACGCTGGCTAATTTTTTTGTATTTTTAGTAGAGACAGGGTTTCAACATGTTGGCCAGGCTGGTCTGGAACTCCTGACCTCAAGTGATCCTCCTGCCTCGGCCTCCCAATGTGCTGGGATTACAGTCATGAGCCACTGTGCCTGGCCCACCACAATTTTTTTCTGACTAATGAAAGTGAGGGGAAGTGACATGTGTTATTCCCAAGCAGAACCCATAAGATCCAGCACATGGTTTTCCATGTTCTCTTTTCCCAAAGCCATAAGACAAAGAACGTTGCAGAAACAGACTGCTCTATCAGGCTAAGACACAGAGTGAAGATGATACGATCCAGGTTGAACATGTAACATAAGACAGAAACTTCGGTGGTTATAAACTACGGATACTTAGGGATTATTTAATACTGTATCATAATCTAGATTATAATGATTGACACATACAGGCTTTGCAAAATGATCTGTATTCGTATTCTGGCTCTGAAACTTACTAGCTCTGCAACCTCACACAAGTTACTCAGCCTCACTGAGCCACAAATGATTCATTATAAATAGAGATAATATTGCCTATTCTGGAAACCTGTTGAGAAAATTAAATGAGATCATGTACACATAAGTACACACACACACACACACACACACACACACACACACCATGACTTTCTTTTTCTCTTCAACAGATATAATCTTTCTTCAATAAATGTAATCTATTAAAGGAAGAAAAATAAAATTTGTGGAGCAATGAAGAAACAAGCCCTGTACTTGACACATAGTTGCTTTCCCTGCAGAGATCAAATATAACTTTTGAAATCTGAAACCCAAGTAATCCATCCAAGCTGTCTATGTTACAAAATCTATAAATTGGCTCATGCTTCTCCCTGTACTTGACACGTAGTAGGTGATTTCCCCACAAAGGTCAAATATAACTTATGAAAATTTGAAAACCACATCATCCATCCGTGCTGTCCATACTGTGAAACATATGAACTGAGACTCATGCCCCTCACAGCACTCATTTTTATATTTCTAGGTGGGAGTTTCCCAGATCTACATCCCCCTTTCTTATTTAGCCACAAGCCACTAGAGGCTTTTAAAAGAAACAATTGTGCAGAAGAATAAAGTTGAATTCCTACTTCACACCATATACCAAATTTAACTCAAAGGGAATCAATGACCTAAATGTAGGAGCTAAAACCATAAAATTATTAGAAGAAAACGTCAGTATAAATCTTCATTATCTTGATTTGGCAATAGCATAGATATAACATCAAAAGCACGAGCAACAAAAGAAAAAATAAATAA